CCTGAGGTCTCTGATGATGGCACGAATGCCATCCACGAGGCTCCCGCCCGCACGACCCAGAGGCCCCTCCTGGCACCATCACTGTGGGGATCAGGTTTCCACACAGGAATCTGGGCGTGTCCACAGGCCACCTCTCGGGGTTGGTGCTGAGCTGGTGGCAGTAAGATGCAGGGGTGGACCGTTAGGCCGTGTACCAGGCCCCTGCCGCCCAGGCCCTACCCGGGGCTGGCAGGTGTGTGGCCCTCACAACAGCCCAGCCCCATCCTGCGGGGGCACTGATCCCTGCTCTGAGCTGTGCCCCTCTGCTAAGCAGGTCTCTGAGGGGTCCGGGCTGGAAGTGGGCAGAAATGGGAGGCCTCCTGCTCCTTGGGGCCCCCATAGGGCCTCAAGCTCATTTATGTCCCCTCCACCCTGACCTCTGGGCACAGTGCAGAGGGGAGTAGGTGGTCACGCCAGCCGTCTCCAGAGGACAAGTGTGCATGGCGGCTCTGAATTGAGGGCCTAGGAGCCAGTTTGCTGCTGGAGCAGGGCTGGAGGTGGGTGGCCTAGGTGGCGTTGCCCAGAGCACGGAGGTCAGGACATAGTGCAGAGCCTGGGGTTCTCCACTCGACACTGAAATAGTGCCAGGTTTTACCAGACATGTGTTCATCCAAAGCAGGGGCTGGACTGTGGACACAGACCTGTCTGCTCCAGGAGCTGCAGCTGGTCAGAATCGGGTTTCACCCAGCCTCCTGTGGTGCTCCTGGCTTCTCTCTCAGTCACCTGGGTAGCAGAAGTCCTGCACCCCAACCCCTGGACATCCCACATGCAGTGCATCCCACACACTGGGCTCACTTGTCCTGTCCCCTGAGGAGTTGGCTTCACCTGAGCTGGGAGCAAAGTGGCTGCCACCTCTTGGGCATCACAGCACCATCCAGAGGCAGAGACAGTGGAGTCATCTGGTTCCTCCCCTGAACACTTGGCACCTCTCAATGGCTAGACCTCTGAGCAGCTGCTGGAGGGGCTGGGTCCCTGTGGCACATGGCTCGGCCCAGGTTGGCAACCTGCCCTGAGTCTCCTCTGTGTGAAGGACACGGAGGTCCCTTAGCAAGGAAGTCGGGTACCAGGTTGGGGCTGGCGGGGTGGGGTAGCTTCACTCTGAGCCCCGAAGGGAAGCGGCCTTTCCATTCTCATCCCCACCCCTCATGGGTGTGTGAGTAGCGGACGCACGGGGACAGCCACTGTCTCTGTGACAGTGCCTCAGATTCTGTCTGTTCCGAGCGGACCTTTCAGGGGTGCAGGAGTCAGTGAAGTGGGAGAAGGGTTAATTCTGCAGCCAGTTGGTGGGTAGTTTAGACTGTACAGGGAGATCCTGCAGTATGGCTGAAGTTCAGGGAGGCGGTGAGGGCTGGGCCCAGGCGGGTCTCAGGGATCAGGCAGGAGCCTGTTCATTTTGGGGCGTGGGCAGCCCTGGCCATGCCTCCTCTTCTGCCTTGTGACCTGAGCTCTGTCTGCAGAGCCAGTGCCCAAAGCCAGCCCCAAGCTCTGCCCAGGGCAAGGACAGCTGCGGTGGGGCCAGGGGTCTTGGCAGCCCCCCACCTCCCACTGCCACTCAGAAGCCAGCTGGGCGGGAAGAGGGCTGGCCGCCCGCAGGGTGTGGCTGGTGGGATATAGGTGCTGGCGGAAGCCCATCTCAGCTGGCTTGGCCCCATTCTGGGGACAGCACAGGGTCAGCGGGTGGGGGCAGCAGCTTGCCGGGGCATGAGGCCCTTGGACACGGACGGGCATCTGCATGCCTGGCTGGACCAGAGGTAATTCCTTGAGCGCTGGGCCTTGGGGGCCCTCTCACCCCTGGAACATCCCTCCTCTCCAGGCCTTGGGGGCCCCTTTCTCTCCACACTTTTGCAAACTCCCTGATGGACACCCCTGCACCTGCTCCCTGCCAGCTTCTCTCCCTGGCCTGTTACCACGGGCAACCAGGTGCAGATGGTGGGGGGCCGGGGGCTGAGACGGTGGGCTTGCCCCTTGTCGCAGTGGAGTCCAGGTGGAGAAGCGGTGGGGCTGGGATCTCTCTCCAGAGGCCTCCTCCACACACAGCCCCCGCCTCCCCACCAGCTCCCCACTCAGGGGGGCTAGACCCTCTTCCAAGTCAGATCCTCAGGTGACGCCCGTGGTCACAGGGAAAGGAGAGAAAGGGTGAGATGAGGTAGCAGGCCCTGGTGACTGGGCAGAGCTGAGGCCTGACGGAGCTGCTGGGAGCAGCAGGCTGCTTCCCCCATCCCTGGGGCTGTTCCCCTCCAGCTGCCTCCCCACTGGGTGTTTCCCACACCCTCCTGCTCCCCCAGCTGAGCTGCTCCCACCCCACTGCTCCCCCTCCACTGGGCTGCTCCCACCCTGCCAGCGCTGCTCCCCCAACACTGGGCTGTCCCCCTCCCCCCACTGCTCTGCTCACCCTCCCTGCTGCTCCTCCCCCTTCTGCCTGGCTGTCCCCCCTAATCCAGGCTGCTCCCCCTACCTCCATTCTGTGCCATTGCCACAGTCCACCTGTGAGAGGACTGACACCCCCCAGCCCATGAGCCCTGGCTGTGACCCCCACCCCCACTGGAGTTGTTGCCTTGTGCCAACTTCCTTGCACCCCTGAACTGGGTGACCTGGAAGGAGGTGGGGCAGGGCTGTCACTCAGATGGGTTTTCGGGAAGGCTGCCCCCAGCCCTGGCTGGGCCTGCAGGACAGCCTCCGAATCACATTCGGTTTCTTCTTGTCTCACCACAGGCCTGGGGGTGGGGCGCGCTGGCGGCCCTGCTCGCACGCGAGGCCCTGGCCGGGGTCCAGGCTGCTGTCACTGCTGTGCTGACGCCCCATCGCGTGACAGGAGCCCGAGGAGGCCCTGCTGGGCGTGCCCTGCGGAATGTGGCTGCGGAGGAGGGAAGTGGGGGTGCCCGGCCAGGGTGCACGCGATGCTGGGGGGCTGGCTCCCCAGTGCAGAGAGCCATGCAGGGGGAGGGGGAGGGAGGTTAGAAGGGGACCCCGGTTCCTGCCTCCAGGGAGTGCTCACCACCCCCCATCCAGGCTGCCCCATGTCCTGTGTGGGCATTGGCCCCTGTGAGTCTGGGAGCACTGTGGCTCTGTGCCTCTCCAAGTGGGGGGCAGGGTCCCAGCAGGGGTCAGTAAACCACATCTGGGGATCCCCCCAGCTTTCCATCTGTGGGTGGCAGCATCCCCCAGGCAGGTCTGCAGGGGTGAGAGAGAGGAGGGCAGGGACAGCCCAACCCCAAACTCCCCTTCCCCTCAATTCAGCCTGCAAGTTGGGGTAGGGGGCTGGCTTGAGCTGGGTCGGTGTGGAGGGGTGGTCCCTGCAATGAATTTGCTATGAGGGAGGCCTTGGTGGTCTGGGCTGTAGGGGGCGACTGGGTGCACTGAGATGGGGGTCCGGGCCCCAGCTCCTCTCCTGGCTCCAGACTCTTCCAGACCTGCTCCAGGCTCTGCCCCACCCACCTGGAAGACGTGGCCTCTGGGTGGTCAGCAGGGCTGGATCCTCTGGGGAGCTGGGAGGCTGGCCCTGGCCTCGTGACATCACGGGGGGAGGGGCGGGAGTCAGGGGGACCCCGGCCTGCGCTAGTCAGAGTTTTCCCTCCTTTATCTTTCTCGGCCTCTGAGAGCGTGGGGTCTGCGTGAGCCTCTGGGACCAGAAGGTTCCCTCGGGGACGTGGCACCTCTCAGCGCCAGCTCCTCTTGGGTCTGCGTGAGGCCTCTGTGCTCCAGGAAGCAGGGCTGCGTGCGTTTGGCGTCTCAAGCCTTTCTGAGTGGAGTGGAGCACAAAATGGATTAAACGTTAAGGCCTCTGGCTTCTCGCTCAGAGCTGTTTCACTGCCTTGAAAACCAGTGCCCTCTCGGGGGACCTGGTGGCTGACGAGTTTCAGTTTGGAAGGGAGTCCTGGGCGTCTGCATCTCTGCCTGGTGACCCAGGCATGACTGGACTGTTTCCCGGGATACACCTGCTTTCTGGCGAGGAAATGCGTTCTTTTCTTGCCGCCTTTCATGCAGTGAACAGAAGTCCTGCGGGAGAGGAGGGGATGGGGTAAGCTTCTGAGAGAGGGGAGGATGGAGAGGCCGGGGGAGACCAAAGGCCACAGCAGGGCCCCGAGGGCCACCGTCCCGGAGGCTCTGCATGGAGGCCGTTGTCCCTGTGGACACCCTGCGCCCGGCAGCAGGGGCGTATACGAAGGGCCGGCTTGGCCTCTGCTGGGGTGTGTGTACACGTACATGTGTGTGCTCGCGCGCGTGCGTGTGCATCGGGGGCTCCATCTGCCGTGGTCCGGCCCACTTGAGGGTTGAGGAGGGTTAGACCAAGCATCTCAACCCAGAGAGCTCATCGGGGGCCTGCTGGCCTGGGGCTTGGGGCCCTGCGCCTCTGACCGGCTCTTGGGGGAGCTGGTGCTGCCCATCAGCCAAGGGCGCAGCCGTGGGGAGCTGGCCGGGGCAGCGGAGCCCCGAGGCCTCCCCGACAGTCGATGACGTGTGGGAGCCGGAACGGCCCAGCACGCCCCCGAGGAAGAGCCCCGCACAACTTGGTGGTCTCGAAGGAGAAACGCTGCGGAGCTTCACGCTTCTTTATGTTTTATCCCAAGACCAGAAGGAGGCGAGTGACGGTCTGCAGGGCCCTTGGTGGCACTGACGCCCTCGGAGCTTCCATCTGCAAGCCCCCAAAATGAGGGGAAACAGAGGCACGTCCCACCCGGCCTCCGTGGAGCCAGCAGCACCAGGCCCGCTGCTGGCTGGGACCCCCTTTACCTGCCTGCCCCTCAGCAGCCTGGGGGACCCTGTAATTCCAGTGTCCAGGAGGATGCTGAGCGTGGACCTGGGGGCCCCCTGCCAGGTGCCAGGGGCTGGGATGAGGGCGATGTCCGCCTGTCTGACCTGCAGAGGGTGGCAGCAGAGAGCTGTGGAGTGGAAGCTGGGGAAACAGAGGAAATGTGGCCAGGCCCGGGAAGGCTGTAAGTAACTGCTCTCTCCTCCCACAGCCCTGCAGGAGCGGCGCCCACAGCAGCCGGCTGCCAGTGCCCCCCCACCAGGAGACAGAGGTCTGTGTGGAGGGTCCGCCGTGCCGGAGGGAAGGCTGCTGCTGGAGGTGAGCCCCTTCCCCCTCAGATCACACCAGCGCCCGGTGTGCAGGCGTCTGCCCTGGGTCCCCAGATGTGACCTTTTACAACCACGTGGAAGTTAAGGCTCTGGGAAGGGTGGGATGGTGGCGCTCTGGGGGCAGTGCAAGCCGGTGAGCTGGCGGCCTAGGTCTTCAGATCTGAAAATCGTTTTCCAGCCTGCATTTTCTGGTTCTCCCACCTGCAGCGGGGAAGGGCAGGGGCAGGGAGCCAGCAAGACACCTTTTCTTTTTTAATTTTGTGGGGGCAGTAATTAGGTTTATTTATTTATTTAACGAGGTACTGAGGATTGAACCCAGGACCGTGTGCATGCTAAGCAGGCACCCTCCCTGTAAGACACTTTTCCTGTCCCATCTCAGCCAAGCCCTGAGGTTGGCACCCTCTCCCCACGGCACTTCAACTTGTTAGAAGTTTCAGCTGTTTACAAGGAGGCGAGGGTGGAGTAACCCTAAAAACCTGATGAGCTTTTAGGATGGCCGGGACCAGTGGCCAGGCTTTGGCCGACTGGTCCTCCTGGTCCCCGTCCCTAGGTCTTTGTTCTGTCCATATCTTCTCGGATCCCGTCGCCCAGGATCAGGGCCCTGGTGTCCCCCTCACGCTGCCCCTGCTCATCGTGTGGGCACTGCCCTCTGCTCTCGCACGTGTCCAGCCCTGTCACCCACCGGCCCCGCGGCCCCCCAGCTCGCAGCCCCAGCTGGGGGGTCTGGATGTGCTCTGAGGGTCAGTGAGCTTGAGGCCACTTCCTTTCTGTGAGGAGGGCGTTCTCGCAGGTGGCTGGTTGGTGCTGAGCGCGAGCCCCCAGGGTAGTAGCTGCCTCGGAGCCGGTCTGCGCAGAGCTGGGTCTGAGCGAAGTGAGCATGGGGATGTTCTGCTTTCAGTGGAGGAAACGTCTGACACCCATTACTCGTCGGGTTTTAGGAATCCAATCTTAAATACTGTAAAGTTTCCTCTGAAACTGCTCTTTTCTGTCAGTGCTGGTAAACCTGGAGCTGAAACACGTCGTGCCAGTTTGAATTGTGTTCTTGGCAAAAGATAAAGATAACTGGCGTTGTTTGCTCTTTTTTATTCATGTTCAAAATTAAAATAACATCTTACCCATGAAATCTTTTTAAAACTTTTGTTCTGAGCTATAAATACAGAAGCGTGTGCATGTAGCTGAGCTCGGGGTGCCGTGCTCACCTCTGCACCGGGGCCACCGCCCAGGCCACCTCTTCCGGCCCCTCCAGTGGGCGCAGAACGCGGTGGTCCTGCCTCCATGCAGAAGCCTTCAGGTGTTTCTGCTCTCAACCAAGCCTTAAAGCCTGGATGATCAAGTATTCCCTGGGGCCTCTGGACGCAGACGGCCCTGCGGTCCGGCTGAGGCTGAAGCCAGGCCTGACTCTCTTGTCCCTGCCAGCTCCCTCAGGGCCCAGAAGGGAGGGGAACTGGTGCGTCCATCCTGGCATGCAGAGGTTCTGGGAGCTGCCCTCCGGGTGGACTTTCTGAGAACGAGGTCCCGAGGCTGAGGGGTCAGGGGCCACTGCCCCTCTGCTCTGGGCACTGTGGCTGCCCTGGTCCCGGCCCG